TAGCCCAGGTGAAGAATTTTGGGATCAAGCCTTCCTGCAAGTAGAATAGGGAGCAACCATTGTTACCAATGTCAGATCAAGCACCCACCTGCCACTTTCGTAGGATTTATATTTTTGGGGGTCAAGTTCAACTTAGTTCAAAAACTGGTCATTGGACATGATTATATTTCCTTGAAAAATTAAATTACTGTGTCTATTATTGACCATCTTCAAAAAAAGCAGAAGAGATAAAACATTTTTCACTTGCACATGAGGGCATTCAAAGGTGTGAACGGTTTTCATAGCGTAAACAACAAATCTAAACTGACAAGAGAGTAGCGGTACTTACTGGTTCCTGGTAAACGATTGACGTTTCTAATCCCGGCAGTACGTCCAAGAGTAGTCGGCATGCTGCTGCATTGACATCAAACTCACGACTGGAAACGATGTAATTATTGATAAGCTGAAAGAAAACGCAGAAAATAACATTGTAAGTCTAAAAGATAGATAAATATATTAAGTAAACAATTAACTACACATGTATGGCAGACTCTGAACTAAATCTGTTCAATGTATGTAACAAGTTTGAATGAAATGTGTCTATGCACGACCAAGATCCTTGAATGGCTGTCGTTCAGCCATTTTGAATTGGATTGCGAAATGAACACATGCATACATGTGATATGTATTTTGAACATAAATGGATATATGGGCACATGGAATGCATGCACAGAGATGAAACTATTAGTCCTTCAAGGCTTGTTTTTGGACTCATCCAAACAAAACAAAACGCAGTAAGACAGATGAGTTTTAATATAAAAAAAAAACATCAATATTAGATTGAATCAAATGTAAAAACTCTCTCTTTGCAAATGACTCATAAGCAGATTTTAATTTTCATCATGCCACTTCCATTGACAAAACTGTGAATTCTAAACAAAATAATCAATATATAAAGCTAGTGAATACTAATTAATTGGTTTTGGAATTCCTGCGAATAATAGAATAACTATAACGTTGGTGACTTACCCTGTTCATGAACTCATCATTCTTAAACAATAATTTGAGTATCTGACCCAGCGAACAGTTTGGATCCGTTCTGGCAGGATGACGGTCATCAAATGGATCAGGGTCCATCTTAAGGTAGTTTTCCGTCTCCCTCTCAACCAACTCTGCCATCCTGACAAAATACAATATAGAATATGTTATTACATCATAACATACATATTCATTATGTACTTCAGAAGAAAGTAGAGCATGAACGACACTCATAAATTGGCACATTTCATTCCAGAGTGCTGAAATCATTACTGAAAATTTTCACTGAATGTGGTTAAATCAGCAATTCTTCGTATTTCTTTTCAGATATCCTATACATAGCTTGACCTTTTGAGCTCAAAAGTTAATTTCAGACACCATCCAAAATATAGTTCCATTCATAGTCTGCTCTTTTCCAAATGAAAAAATGCAAAAATTTCAAAATTTTTGATCAAAAGATAGAAGCAATGTGACAATTTGCTTATTTGGTTGAAAATCAAAATTGAATTAAGAATAAATTACAGAAAATATGAATAAATTTATGTGGGATGGGTGGCACTCAAAAGGTTAAATATTAAAATATATAGAAGCAATGTTATAGTAACATTTTGTTCTTTTTGGTCAAAAATTAAAACTGAATTCTGTGAAAATTACAGAAAAAATGAAAAAACATTTGGCTAAAACTAAGAATTACCAAAAAAAAACACAATTAAAACACACTGTCTTCTGTGTTTCACATACTTACTTAACCAATATATCTATGGGAGATGTAGCACTTCCAACGTTTTTTTCCCATTGTTCTAATAGTTTAGCAAACACCTGAACAGATCCAATTTCTGCCTGTGGTTCGGTCATATTGGCGATAATTCTAACAAACAAAACAAACATGCATGCATCATGTTACATGTGACACATAACATTTGCAAAACTGATGTACAACATTTTAATTTTATACTTGTTTTGTCTGTATGCAAGGAAGATACTGTGAAACGATTCATTCTATCAGGTTTTAGTTAAAATATTCTAACATTGAACAGATTCACTTCATGTTGTGATCTTTTTGAATTTCACAGATAAAGTAAAAACAGCCAAATTAAAACCAAATGAACAATTAATAGGTTCATAATATGAATGAATATAATAAAAATAGCGTTGATTCAATGAATGTTATTGTACTTTGATTTAAATAAAATACTTCATAAAACATTTATAGGAAGCGGGTATATATAATACTTGAATGTCAACTACTCTGACTGAATATTCTTTTTATAGGCAGAAAAATATATCACAGTATGTGGAAAGTGATAAGTTTATTTAAAAAACAGAGGTTAGAACTTTTGTTCATTCATTTTATAATTTGCATATCTAAGCAATTAATTAACCTTGCACCCTGAGAGCACTCATAGAATTTCATTTCAAAGCTTTTCCATACGTCAAAGCACTACTGATCATTTCAGTCTCCCCATTTGGATGTGTGTTCCAATTCTTTGAATAGTGTTAATCATACACGTGTGGATTCACAAAGATTCGTAATTCAGAATACGGCAAAATCCTGGTGAATCCTTTACAAATTTAAACAAATTCAGACTATTGAATTGTTCACATAATAGGCGTAAGCCTCCAATGAAGCTTCATAGTTGGTTTGACATTAAGTTTAAAAAAAATGATATCAATATGAACAGAGGTACATTACTTGGGGTTTGCAACTCGCATAGTACTGTATGGTGACATCATGTCAAGATCCCATTCAAGTTTCTTCTCGTAGATAGCGAGACTGAGGCTACGACCTTCTGACATGACACATATCAATGTTCAAGGTTTGTAATGAAAAAATAAAACTTTTCTTGTCGCTATCATAGTGAAAAATGTAATACATCGAAAATGTACAGAAAATATAGTTCTCGTAATCCGTCATACCGTGGGCAGCTATTTTGATCCACCTGGACATCCCAGTATCCTAGTTACCTCGGGTTGGAACGCTTATGCGAGAGCGAGATTGTGACGGGATCTTGGTATCATGTCACCGTAGTTACAAACCCCAAGTAATGTACCTCTGATATGAATCATAATTAATTTTGTGAATTTATCATATTTTACTACTTTTCAACTATATTCAATGAAAACTGAATATAATTCAACACTTGAATTCGACTCAAATACCGATAACAGAGTTTTAACTGGTAATACACAGATGTGTTCTCTCGCTAACACTTTCCCATAATCCATCACTGGCGCTGCAACCAAGTTGGAACAATGAACCTCAACAAGCACCGTATCTCAGTCCCTCAACCACTGTGACCGTACTTCTCCCCACTGATACCTGTACTAGATTGTACAATGCTAAAGTGTGTGGGCCATCTTGTCTCCCGTTGGAGCTACCTGATAATTCACAGACAATAACATCACCATGCGTTAGTTTAAAACCGAGGTCATCGTAAAACGGGATCATCATCATCTTACTCTATCAACACAACATCCTTCGCCTCGATTGCCCCTAACCACTGCTGTGATGGATCGCACAGAATTCTCTCATTACGATTTGTCAAGTCAGTTTCTGTCTCTACTAACCTGTAGAAGATCACAAAAGAAGATCCCAACTCAGACAACCCGTCCCAGTTTTTTTCTGTTTAGTTTTTGTATCGACTGTAAAGTAACATGCAAAACTTTCTGCTTTGAAATGGCGTGTTTTGCTGAAGCACTGGAGTTGCGAAATCGTAACAAACTCATGGACACATTCATTCAAGTATCGCGAGACCATAGTGTTCTCGCGATCTATGAGAACACTAAGATTCCCCGGATGAATAGTTCAGCTACCGCTGCAGTACCGGACCGTAATGAAAAGACCGATCGTCTGCATTTCGCTGTTGACATTTTTTTCTAATATTTCACTTTTCCCTGTATTTATCTGTTCCTGCTCAGACGACGACACAGGTAAAGTATAATTGTTTCACATAAAAGTATTCGCAGTATATTTTTGTGTAGCGTCTGATAATCGAAAGACGTTTTAACGCACTGTTGTCGTGTGTCTGGCTATCTAGTGGGGTCGTTCGCCGAGTCTGTTGTTTACAAAATGTAAAAAATGTGGCTTCCGGGTGCCGGGTACCGTTATAATTAAAACGTAAACAACATATCTCTATTGACGGCGACATGTTTTGTTATCTTTTGTTGAAGATGTATATACATGTATTACACAAACAATAATTTATCGAGTATGTGGAATGTCCCATTAATATTAAAAAGTCAGGGCAAAGACATTTTGGGGCACATTTTGGGGGTGAACATGTACGCGGAGAATAATAAAAAATGTATTTATGAACCAAAACCACACACATTTGACAGAGGAAAACAGAAAAAAACAGCAACATAATCATCCTGGAAAAAAAAGTAGTTCAAAATCTTAAAGTTAAGGAAAAAATAATTGGCATATTTTTGTTCTGTTTTAGCACCATGGTTTAACCATCAACCTTCTTCTAATGGTCAGACCTTAATTATGTAATATTTGGGAAATGTGTGTGTGTTTTTTCATTCATATAACTGAAATAATATTACTAAAATTTAAAATAAAATTACATGTATATGTAATATAAGGTACACAAGAGTTCAAATTTTTTAAATTTGTTACATTGTTGTTACAGTTGGAGGTTCATTAATTATTCAACTAACCCATTTTATTTAACCTTTTGGACACAATAATTGTTCTCTTCTATTGTTTGGAGCAACATTTTCCCAATATTATGTATTTTTCTATAATTTCTTTGTTCCTTTTAATCCAATGGATGTAAGGGGTTGACCATTTGAAATCATTTGTTGAAAACAAATTTGTAAGCTAGACACTGGGTGAAAAAAAGTAGCAGGAAATAAAAATAAAAATGTTCAAATAAGCAACCATGAAAAATAAATTGGAACTGATCACCCCCCCCCCCCATGATTTCAAATGGTTAACCCCTAACTATCTAATTCATCTGTTGTTTTGATTTTTTGTTCTCAAATTTGATACTACTGGTACTATATGTATATTACTATGGCTGCAAGAAAGAATGAAACTGCAATATTGCAGTATAAAGACACTATTTTGCTAACATGATAGCTACATTATAGGAAGTATTGCCACAGAAAGCAATGGCTACATTGTGAGCAATATAGTTATTTTTGTAGCAAAACAGTGTATCATACTGCAATGTTCCATTGTTTCTTCTGTTCACAGTAAGAACAAAACAACAAATTAGTTGCCACACACAAAAATTGCATACTTAATTTGTAATTGATTAACAGGTTACATTGATTTTTCTTTGTACTTTATAAATCATTCTCAAAAACGTTATATATTAACGATTATATTATGGCATTATCAATACTAGTGGATTTTATGACGTCATTGCAGCAGATTATTCGATAACGTATCCCATTATTTAATTGCCAATACCAACGGATTTTAATATCGAAATCAGACAATTTTGTGTGGGCATCTACAGTGTGTTCGGACAACAGTTAGTTAGAGCTGTGGGATGACCAAACTTACTATATATATTTAAGAATATGTATATAATATTATATGGTATATATATATTATTTCTAAATTTCTCGGTAAAGTAACCAAAAAGGTATAAATTTTTTAAATTAGTTCTATAAAACAATAACAATGCAAATGCTAAAAGTGCAAGTTGCAGAAAATAACAATAAGTAGTAGTACAGAGTCACATCGACAGTAAATTTCTTATCTTGACTAATAACAATGTTTCTGGATGTGCTTGCATTGATTGTCATGTCAATATGAGAAAATAGTTATTAATATAATAGTAAATCCTTCAGTTGGACAACAAATACAATGGTATTTTGTTAACATGTTCCCACTAGGCACTGAGCTAACCATATGCATCGTTTGTTAGCCCACACTAAGGATCTGGGCCAGGTCTTAAAAACAGCAACTAATGTCAACTCACATTTGTTTGAGTTAGTAATAGACCATAGTAAATTTGTTTGTTTGTTCTATCACTATTATCAATAAAACATTGTTATTACTTGCCCTTAACTTGTGTACTCGCATTGGATTTGAACTTCGGAGACTTGAGTGGGCACCCATTTTTAAGGTTGAAATTGATAAAATTAATTTGGTTGTTTGAATATTGTTGAAAATATTGAAAAGTCCCAAAGCATAATACATTTAACCAGAATTGGGAATATTTTTGAATTATGAAGTAGTGTTCATTTAGCGAAAAATTAAGTACACTATTGTGCATTGATTGTTAATTTATGTACAATCACCATGTACGTGTATTAGAATTTGTGTGCTGCAAAACCAACATATTTAATTTAGTTGTGATAAATCATACTCTAATGTGTTGACAAACATATCAAACAACAATATTATAAAAAAAATGTATGTTATCATCTGTATTTACAGACAAATGTGTAACATCTATAACATTGGTTATTACTATGGTTGAAATAGTTTTATTGCTGAGGTCAAAGCACATAATAGCTGGACAAGCTTGTTCAGTTGTGGTCACAATGAACATGATTTACTACACAAATGCAAACTTGGTGCTTTGACATCCGGCAAGTTTTATATTGATTTAGTGGTATGGCAAGTAAGGATTTTCCACTTGACTTAATTTGTGCTGTGTATGTTATTTGCAAACTTGGGTGCTTGCCATAGTCTAGCTATGTGCATAAACATGGGAAGACTGCATTGATAAAAGCTGACTGTGCTGGATATCAATATTGGTATGGCACTTTGTTTACCAATCATGGAAGTAGGTCATGTTTTATTGCAGAATACTATGAACTCACTTTGCATATTCCTGTTGAAATGAACAATTCAATTCAGGAGTTAAAAATTATCCATGCAAGTCTTCATATACTAAAATGTTGTGGTATTTTTTTTAATAGCCTGACAGGGTCAGTGCGAGTCAGTGCGCCCTCGCTGCTGAATTCACTCAGACACAAACGTTAGACTCGAATCAACCCTGCAAGGCAGTTTATAGTAGTGCTTCAACAAAATCTCTAAATAATTAAATAATTATGTGCCTGAAATTTGTCTTGGCTTGGAAAAAATTGAATCAGACTGTATAGAAGTTGACCCTTCTTCAAACAAACCACAGTTTTCACTCCTACAGAATTTACGTAACTTTTTATCATCAAAAATATTAATGTTCTTTTATTAGCATAGTGAAATTTAATATTTCATATATACATTTAATTTATTAACTTGTCAGGTTGAAATATGCTTAAACTAGATTAATGTATATTGCATGTGTATTGAATAAAGCCCGACTACAAGGACTCTTCTGATATATAAAGTGCTACCAAAAATATGTCAAGGCAGCAGGCCAAATCATTTTATTGTGGGAGGATGTTATATCCAAGAGGAGTTATCGAAGGAGGGCTGTACATAATTATTTTGCAGAAATTCTTGTACTTTATAAGTGAGTGAGTCCTATAAAGTATTTTGCACAAAATGTATAATTGGAAAGGGGACCACACCCCTATTTTCAAATGAAATATCCTATAAAAATCCTCAAACATTTGTTATGTAATTTGGGAATGCAGTACACATGTGCGGAAGTATTTCAAAATTCCATTTTTTCATACAGTTTGCATACTGAAATTAAAGCAGATGATGTACAGAAGATCTACAATGATCAACTTTATGAATATTTATGATCTCACACAAAAAGTCATAGAATGAAATAGCCAAAAAGTCAATAACCGTCAATTGAGTTCATGTAGTTGTGCGAGTCTTAAAAGTCTCAGGTACATTACATGAGAACAAAGGCAACAAGTCTGCGAACAAAGCGATTTGACTTGAGAAAACGAATCAAGACTCAAAAACAGGACATTTACTTGTGTATATAAAGTCCCACAATGTGGTATTCTGATTGGTCGAAAAGCACTAAGTGTGTTTAAAATATATTGATGTACTTCTAGAATAAGTTTCTAGTAACTCCATCTTTACCTACATACATGTTTTCTATGAGAATGATACCTTGACTATTTGCAGACAGGGATCTATGATCAATGACCTCAATGCTGAGCAAAATATGTGTTTATTTCACATTGAGTAATGTCATAAAAAAACACTTTCAAATACATGTAGAAAGGAAAATTGACCTTTTTGAAAACTAATGTATTTACCGGTAATTTTCATGAAATATGAGGAATGGGTATTTTAAAATATAATTCTCTGTTATTGCTTTCGTATGGAATTTATTTTCTCTCATTTTTGACAAGTGGAATGTAAAATATAGGAAAAAAGGTATATTTGCTGGTTTTTATTTTCATTAAATCAGCCCTTCAGCGAAAATAGCAAAAAGAAAATCCAAGTGAAAATTAAGTATTTTACAATATTCCCCTGTTCTATAATGCTGTTAAAACCATAGGCATTTAATTACTACTTGTGTGGTTAATTTACTGAGTTGATGAACAGTATGACATTTAGCATCTTAAGTATTTGTGGTATTTTTTTGAAATTCCTAGACCACCTGGCATGACAGGCTATTTGAAAGAATGAGGAGGGAACTGGTGATAAACTATTCCGCTTGATCAACTTTACATGTACCTCCATTTGTACTTGTATGATTCATTCCTCAGTTAGCTGGTTTATCCAAGTGTGGAAAAGCAGTTCCTCATTTATCAGAAGAGTAAACAATTCTACTGCTGTGACTTGTATAAATATAGCATGTAATCTTTCATTCTCAATGACTTGGTAATTTATATGGTTGAATGATTACTCTAATAATAGCCACTAGTGCTGTCACACTGGGTGATAATTGGTATTCAAAGTACAGGATATCCTTGTTTTAGAGGATATATCAAACATATATATTTAATATAGTGTCTTTGACAACTGTTTTACAACTCCATGTAATAGACAGAGGAATAGTAAAAGCAGTGTGTTTTGATCACTGAAATATAACATGATAATGTGCTTGTATTTGTATTTGTGGTCTTCAGTGGTCTGCGCACTGAAGAGCGCCCTCACACACTCAGCCAATGATCAGATATTGCTTTTTACTTTTACTTTCTTTTTGTTAGTACTGTATTTTTTAGTAGTTTCCACTAAGGCTATATATGTGTAAGTACATATATTGACTGTGAATTTAAGAAAGGGTTCAAATAATGTTCTAGCACGGAGATGTCGCTGAAAAAGTTTGCTGGATGTCTGTAAGCTTTACTTATCAGCAGTGCATGAAAAGAAAATTGTAATTTAAAACCCGTCCAGAGCACCTCAGAACACCAACAAATATCAAACAATTATTATTAAACAATTATTATAGTATTTGATTTATAAAATGTGTTTTATACATACAAAACTTTGGCGAACAGACTGGCAAAGATGTGGAGTTTATTCAGGTGAATGTTTTACACAGGATTCAGTTTTTACTTTTATTATAGGTACTGTTATAACCATTTATAAGGCTTTCAAGACATGATCAGTGTCTGACATATGCATATTAATTAGTAGATCTGCATAATAAATAGTTTGTAGAATGTTCCAAGAATCACTTGTACAATTGGCACTTCTAAGTCATTAATAATTGCTTTTGAAGCGTTCTGTAGTACCTTGTCTGTGAATGATTTGAGGAATTTATTTAAAAATCTCTCAGGATGTAGGTTACATTTATAGTTTATATTTACCATTGTTATTAATCTGCAATATTGTTTTTATTAACTTTCTCATTCATTTTATTGAGAATAAATCAAATAAAATTTAGCATGTATACACTCATTAGACATATTACAATTGTATGCTACATTTGTTACTTATTTGATCATGCAGTTTCCTCTTTTTATCAACTACTACTGTAAAATCTGTATTAGAAGCCACAACTTCTATTGAAATGGTACAATGCAACAGAAGGGATGCAGCTTCCATTAGAGTATCTACACATATGAGAAATGATGAATTTTTGTTTCCAAATTGTTCAAAAAGAATGGGTGCGACTTCTATTAGGGATGCGGCTTCTAATACAGATTTTACGGGAGTATTCATGAACATACATTTTCACAATTTGCTCATCTTTTTAACTCTCATCAATTTTATAGCAAACAATACAGCATAAATTTATTACTGGTAATCACATGTGTAGTATAAATATACGTTATTCATATCAAGCTTTTGTTTATTCTTTCTCTTAGATAAGTTACCAGACACAGGAGAAGGTGGAATGTCCTACATGAAAAAGGAAAAGTTAAAGCTAGAACTTAGCTCTATGCAGTATTATGTAACCCAAGAGCATGGAACAGAAAGGTGAGTCATTTTCTTTTGTCTTGAAGTTTGCTAACTTTACTTTTTGCTTTGTACTATACTGTTGGAAAGTATAATTACAGTTACAATGCTAGACTAACTTATTTGCTTGATTATTATAGCATGTTCTTGCATAAATGACAGAGGTGTATATATGGTCGAAATAAGTCGTATT